CTGCCGCCCTCCTCCCCACGGCCCCTGTGCCGCCCCACCCCACCGGCCGACCTCGCCCTCCACCAGCAATTCCCTGCAGGTTTGTTCTTCCCCCCTTTTTTAGTTTAGTTTTTTAGTTTCTTTTAGTTTAGTTTCTATTTTAGTTTTAGTTTTAGTTTTAGTTTTAGTTTTATTTTCAGTTTAATTTTAGTTTTAGTTTTAGTTTATTTTAGCTTAGTTTATTTTAGATTAGTTTTAGTTTTAGTTTAGAAGAAGAAGAGGAGTAGAAGGAGGAGGAGGAGGGAGGAAGAAGAAGAAAGAAGAAGAAGAAGATGATGACCCTAAATAGCAAGTATCGTCGGTGCGAGATACATGTGGCCGTCGGTGTCGAACACTACATCCACGTCCCACAAGTGATGCCGACGTCCGGCGTCCCAAAGCAACTGTTCTCGGTGTCCGGCGCCGGCTTCACTTGTGGGATGTGGATCTAGTGTTCAACACCGAGCGCCACATGTATCTTGCACCGATGATACTTGCTATTTAGGGTTAATTAGGGGGTTCCTCGGTGTCGATGGTATCCTAAATAGTAAGTATCATCAGTGCGAGGTACATGTGGCCGTCGGTGTCGAATACTACATCCACGTCCCACAAGTGACACAGGGGTCCTGCGTCCAGCAGCAACAGTTCTTGGCGTCGATGGCGGTCAAACACCATTGCAATTTTGTTTGGCAGCCTCAGAGATGACGATTTAAAGCTAAGTGTTGAAACTTGAAACACCCAAAATAACTCAAGTCGGTTTGGTTGTTTGAAAATTTCAAAACTTGGCTTTAATCCTCATCGCAGAGGCTGCCAGACAAATTCGCCAAGGTGCTCGACTTTCATCGGCCACCAGAACTATTGTTGCGGGACGTCGGGCACCGGCTTCACTTGTGGGATGTGGATGTAGTGTTCAACGCCGATGGCCTCATGTACCTTGCACCCATGGTAGTTGCTATTTAGTTTATCCAGGGACGAGCGGGTTAGAGGGTTCCTCGGTGTCGATGGTACCGTAAATAGCAAGTATCATCAGTGCGAGGTACATGTGGCCGTCGGTGTCGAATACTTGCTATGTTACTCATCTTTCGATTTAAATATGCAGTTATTTCGTCATTGCGAGGGTCTAGTGTTCGACGAGCTCCGCCCCTGCGTTCGTTGGTGAGCACAAATGACATCTCCTCCTCCCCACTTCATTTGCTCTGTTCTAGTCTTTGTGCCTGATAAGTGCATTTCATATATATAATTTGGCACTTAAATTTAGCATCTATCGTGATTTATCCATCCATTCTTGCTATGAGTTGTGATATATTTGAATGAAAATCATATAAAAGATCATTTACTTGTCATTTGTTTATTTTGCAGAAAAGTGCGATAAGGCACTATAATCTTGAAGATCTTGTCTACAAAGAAAGAGGATACAAGACCGAGGGCCAATAGAAGAGAAGGGGGGACTCGAGTATGAAGAGTTAAAGAAATGGAGGGCCAAAACTAAAGAAGAAAGGGATCTACTTGAGGCTAAAGAAGAGAAGAAGGAGGGCAAAAGTGTAAAAATGTAGATCTGGGAGGGGATCAAAATCCCTAGCCGCATCTCCATTGCAATCAGGCCTGGCATCTCCATCTCCCTCACCCTCCTTCTCCACCTCCGGCCGCCGCCACGGCCAGGCCAGCGTGGTGGTGCGCCCCTCACCATCACACCATCACCACCATCGCCGCCAGCCACGACCATCTCCACCACGCACCACTAGCACCACTTCCCACGAGCCGCACCTCACACCACCACCAGCACCACGCCATCTCCATCTTCGCCGCCGCGCCACCGCTCGCACAATCTCTTCTTCCCCTGCTGCTCCTTCCTTCTCCTCACCACGCTGCTGCTTCCCCTCTCACGCCCCTGGTACTGCTCCTTCTCACGTTCCTGCTGCTGCTGCTGCTGCTCGTCTTGTGCCCCTGGTGCTGCTCCTCCTTCCCTCGTCCTTGCTGCTGCTCTCTCCCTCTCTGTTGCTCTTCTTTGAATCCCCTACTGCTGCTACTCCACTTCCTGTGCTCCCCTTCTTCTTCTATGAATCTCGCTGCTGCTGCTCCTCCTCTTAAAACTGCTGCTGCTCCCTCTCCCACTTTCCTCGCTGCTGTTCCCTCTCTCTTCTCACCAAAATTGCTGATGTCCTCTTCTCCATTTGCTTGCTGCCACACCCTTCCTGAAGCTCTCTCAACTTTATTTTGTTCTGTATTAGTACTATTTTGTCTGTATGTCAGTTAGTTTGCTGTAATAATTCAAATTACTTGTGATCTTTGTGTTGAATGTGATTTCAGTGAACTTGAGATTTGTAATATTGCTCAATATTCAGTCTATAATGTCTAAAACTTTGTGATTCGGTGGTGTCTATATTCAATATATATAACCTGTGATATATATCTTTTAGATGGTTCAATCTTTTAGTTATTGTTGTACTGATATATGTTAAGGTGATTTGGCTTGTGTGATACGAGTCTAGTACATGTGCTATATAAATTCGTGTGTGTTTCTGGTGTAAACCATCTATATTGTGTCTTTTAATCTTGTTTCTTCCTTCTTCTTACATGTTAGATGGTTATGTGTTCATGTGTTGCATCTTCTCGGTGTGTATTTTAATTCTTCTAGTATAATAAAAATACCAAAAAGACAGTGAAGAAAATCTGAACCTTCCTTTGCCCTTTTTGCATTTTCTTTGGTGACGATCTTTGGGTACAACCTTGTTTAGTGTAGGTTTATTTTCTTGCATTCATAATCTGAATTGTGTTACCTAGCTTTAGCCAAGCACGTTCATTGATTTGCCTAGTCCCTGAGGAGAACACGACACTCGTAGTTTGGGGCGTAAAAACCCCGCTATATTACAACTGATCATTTTGGCGCCGTTGCCGGGGACTAGCGTCGTGTGACTGTGTTAGGCTTTAGACTAGGTTTAGCTTGTTTCCTTTTTGTGCTTTATATATTTGTGATATATCTCTAGCCACTAACCCCTATTCTAGTTAGTATCTTTTCGTCTTCTTTTCCTTTTTTGCAGGTTGGATTATCCTCTCGGCTATGGCTTACTATTCAGGCTTATGCGAGGAACACTACAAACAGCACGGAAAGTGTTCAAGAACTGATAGGTAAGATTTCCCATCGATTAGATGATTTAGCTCGGCAGCGAGAAGGAGTTTTTGAGGATAGGCCTAGTTCTTACGATCCTTATTCCAGAGGCCATCCTTATGTTGCTCCTACTTGCCATATTTGTGGATTTCAGGGCCATTCGCCCGCTGAATGTCAGCGTGGTTACTCCCATCCTACGGATTGTTTTGGCATGAGCTTCGCTCAACAGCATAGCTCATACCAAAACAATTACTCACATGGGTGGCCTGAAAGCCTGAATATGTCATATAGGAGCAACAACCCTAAGATCTCACAGTTTGGTTCTAGTAATCATATGCAGGGATTTAGGTACAATGAGGAGAGCCACAACTATGCACCACAACAATTCCATTCAGCTCCTACTCATATACCACAGCACCAGGAGATGTGTCCAATGGAGTTAAATGGTCCTCCATTTGGTCAACCAACAACTCCAGCACCTGTTGTGCAATCTCATGTGCAAGTGCCCACACAAGATGAGTTCAATGACATAGACAAGCTCACACTTTTGAGTCTCGAGTTCACTTGGAGTGCCGAGGATGATCCTATTAGGAAGGTTATACTAGATGAAATGAAGAAGATCAAGAGTGGAAAAGAGCTAGTGGAAGAAGTAAGGAAGATTGAGAACAACATCAACACTGGCAGCACTATTTCTTCACAGCTAGAGCTGAGTGTTGCCGAGATTCCCCTTGATACATGTGAGGTTCCAACATCGTCACATCCAGTTGAGCAAGATAGTAAGAGTCCAGAGGAAGAAAGACCTCAGATTGAAGAAGATGAACTAGAAGACAAGGAACAAGATGATCAAGAGCTGCAATTCCCAAGTGATCAAGTTGAAGACTCATCATCTACTACTCCTAAAGAAGTACAAGAAGCTGCTGTAGATGAAGATGAAGAACATGAGATTCATTTGCCTATTGTCATACCAGAGCGTGATGTGTCAGGTTTACCCAATCCTCTTGATGACATGATGCCTTGTAATTTCTTTGCTACTACCTTGCATTACATGATACCATCAATTAAGCTAGACTTGAAAAATTATTTGCTTGGACATGATCATACATACATTGTTGGTGGCATTGCTCTCATTCCTGATGATGACACTTATTTTCCTTATGCTAGTCCTATGCTTAATGAAACATATTATTCCCATGCTAGTCTTGAGCTTAATGATAAATTTCATCCTCATGTTAGTGTCGACCTTGCTGATTTCTACCATCCTAAACATGTGCTTTATAGTTATGCTTATATAATTGGATATTACATTGATGACTTGGAGGGCATCGACCGTATCACTTGTAGTTGTTTGTGTGAGTCCTATTTCAGGCTTTTGCTACTGCACTGTTTACTACATGCTGACCAGGTTCGAGGTGACATTCCTTGGGATCCTGGTGGAGTCAGAGCATGGCGATGAGGAGAAGCAATGGGGCACACATATGGAAGAGTGAAGCTGGAGCATCCATGAGGAAGCAAGGGAGAAGAGCTGCAGCTGGTGAGGTGATCGAGCGAGTGCTACATCATCAAAGCCCGGTGAGCTGTTTCATGACCCATTCTGAATATCATAAATACATGCTGAATTAAATTGCTAGTTGGGTTGCTTGAGCTAGTTATTACTTGTTGTCAAGCTGAAATTCACCTTTGGCATTGTGCTTGATGTGAATTTGTGAACTTGATTTCTGAATGCCTTGTAAACTAGTGATCTACACCATGCATGCTTTGCTGAAATTTGTGGAAGTTATTAGTTTTGAGTGCTCAAATCCCTAGTACACTAGAAAACTTGATCATTTTCTGCTTTTACCTTGATACACCTAGATCACCATGTTTAGATGCTGAATTTGTGCTAAGTGTGTTCCCATTGAGAGCAATCACCTAACCACTATGGATTAGCATGCTATGTTCCCTGGATTGGTAGCATGTGAACCAGACATGGAGAAGTGATGATTCCTATTTTTGTGCTTATGAGTTGTTCATTTAAGATAAGTAATAATGAATATATAAGTCTGGCTACCTACAGTAGCATGTCATGTTACCGGGATCGGTGGCATGTGAAATCGGGTTAGCTTGGGCAGTAATTAATAATAATAAAAATGTAATTGTCGAACCAGGTGTATACCATGTTCTCGGGATCGGTGGTATGTTCCTTTGGGGAGACAAATAATTTTTTTTAATTAAAATTGGTTGAGCCAGGTGTATACCATGTTCTCGGGATCGGTGGTATGTTCCTTCGGTGAGACTAATAAATTATTATGTGTGTTTCTTTCAAATTCAATAAGTGGTTCAACCACAAAGTCATATTTCTGCAAATAAGAGACTTAATTCTAGTTCTTTTTGTTCTCGGGATCATGCTCTCTTTAGGAACCATTTGGCGCAGTCATCATTTAAACTTGTTGATCCTCTTTTATCACTTTAAAAGTTTAAAATGGTCATGCTTACTAGTATCCTACTGCTTTGTAGCACTCCTAACCATTAATTTTCACTAGCTAAGTCTGAAGCATGCCTTGTTTGGAGATCTATTTTACCAGGACATTCCTTACTCAGTTTACTGTTCATTATCTTGCCTTTGTCATATTCCTTTGCTTGAGGACAAGCAAAGATTTAAGTGTGGGGGAACTTGATAAGTGCATTTCATATATATAATTTGGCACTCAAATTTAGCATCTATCGTGATTTATCCATCCATTCTTGCTATGAGTTTAAATATATTTGAATGAAAATCATATAAAAGATCATTTACTTGTCATTTGTTTATTTTGCAGAAAAGTGCGATAAGGCACTATAATCTTGAAGATCTTGTCTACAAAGAAAGAGGATACAAGACCGAGGGCCAATAGAAGAGAAGGGGGGACTCGAGTATGAAGAATTAAAGAAATGGAGGGCTAAAACTAAAGAAGAAAGGGATCTACTTGAGGCTAAAGAAGAGAAGAAGGAGGGCAAAAGTGCAAAAATGCAGATCTGGGAGGGGATCAAAATCCCTAGCCGCATCTCCATTGCAATCAGGCCTGGCATCTCCATCTCCCTCACCCTCCTTCTCCACCTCCGGCCGCCGCCACGGCCAGGCCGGCGTGGTGGTGCGCCCCTCACCATCACACCATCACCATCGCCTCCAGCCACGACCATCTCCACCACGCACCACCAGCACCACTTCCCACGAGCCGCACCTCACACCACCACCAGCACCGTGCCATCTCCATCTTCGCCGCCGCGCCACCGCTCGCACAATCTCTTCTTCCCCTGCTGCTCCTTCCTTCTCCTCACCACGCTGCTGCTTCCCCTCTCACGCCCCTGGTACTGCTCCTTCTCACGTTCCTGCTGCTGCTGCTCGTCTTGTGCCCCTGGTGCTGCTCCTCCTTCCCTCGTCCTTGCTGCTGCTCTCTCCCTCTCTGTTGCTCTTCTCTGAATCCCCTACTGCTACTACTCCACTTCCTCTGCTCCCCTTCTTCTTCTCTGAATCTCGCTGCTGCTGCTCCTCCTCTTAAAACTGCTGCTGCTCCCTCTCCCACTTTCCTCGCTGCTGTTCCCTCTCTCTTCTCACCAAAATTGCTGCTGTCCTCTTCTCCATTTGCTTGCTGCTACACCCTTCCTGAAGCTCTCTCAACTTTATTTTGTTCTGTATTAGTACTGTTTTTGTCTGTATGCCAGTTAGTTTGCTGTAATAATTCAGATTACTTGTGATCTTTGTGTTGAATGCGATTTCAGTGAACTTGAGATTTGTAATATTGCTCAATATTCAGTCTATAATGTATGAAACTTTGTGATTCGGTGGTGTCTATATTCAATATATATAACCTGTGATATATATCTTGTTAGATGGTTCAATCTTTTAGTTATTGCTGTACTGATATATGTTAAGGTGATTTGGCTTGTGTGATACGAGTCTAGTACATGTGCTATATAAATTCATGTGTGTTTGTGGTGTAAACCATCTATATTGTGTCTTTTAATCTTGTTTCTTCCTTCTTCTTACATGTTAGATGGTTATATGTGTTCATGTGTTGCATCTTCTCGGTGTGTATTTTAATTCTTCTAGTATAATAAAAATACCAAAAAGACAATGAAGAAAATCTGAACCTTCCTTTGCCCTTTTTACATTTTCTTTGGTGACGATCTTTGGGTACAACCTTGTTTAGTGTAGGTTTATTTTCTTGCATTCATAATCTGAATTGTGTTACCTAGCTTTAGCCAAGCACGTTCATTGATTTGCCTAGTCCCTGAGGAGAACACGACACTCGTAGTTTGGGGCGTAAAAACCCCGCTATATTACAACTGATCAGTGCCGATGAAACTTGCTAGTTATAGGTGTCAATCATAAGTATGCGTAACCATTATGTGTCTCCTGTTCGAAAGGGTTACATCTATAAATATGCATGTATTTGCATATTTTATAATCGTGATTATTTCGAATTGTCCAACGTTATCCATGGACAACCCGAGTATGTGTAGATTGGGTTCATTTTCCCATATGCTCAGCTCCGGATCCGATGCAGAATTTCGTCAGTGCCTCCCTGTTGTTCTCTGGGTACACATCCTCTCTGCTTATTGCCGAGACGTGTATCAGGAGAACAGCGGGGAGGTGCTGCCAAAATTTTGCGTCGGATCTGGAGCAGAGCATGGGAAAACGAACCCGATCTACACATACTCGGATGGGATTAGGACCTATCCTTACCTATTAGCGTGTAGGTTGCATAGACGTAATAAAACTAACAAACTCCATTAACTGATGGATATGGTTTGCCTAATTATGTATATATTTCTTGTTTGTCCAGTAGGAAGTCAATATGAGTGACCGTGCGTGGATGTACACCGACTACACTAGTCAGTAGGTTTGGACCGAGGAATGGTTAACAAAACTAAGGGGTTTGTTAGAGCCGCATTTGCAAATGGCCAGAAATTTAGCTGGTGCCCCTGTGTCCGGTGCGACAACTATAATCAGAGGGACGGGCTTCAAATGAGTAAACACCTGCAGAAGTTTGGTTTTACGCCTGGTTATACGGTCTGGACATTACATGGTGAGTCTGCCCAACATGCTAGAGCCGAGGTGGTTCGTCGTCGCACCGACGAGCATGGTACCGGGACCGCAGACATGGTGCAAGACTTTGATGATGCTCGGGACTCGGACGAGGAGATGGAGGAATCTGCAAAGGCCTTCACTGAAATGTTGGAGTCCTCAAAACGTCCTCTCCACGAGCACACTGAGCTTTGTTAGCTGGATGCCATCTCACAAATAATGGCTTTGAAGGCTCAATTCAACTTGGGCAGAGAATGCTATGATGCGATGATGACAGTTTTCGGACGATTTCTACCCAAAGGCCATGTGCTACCTCCAAACCCGTACCAGTCAGACAAAATCCTCCGTGCTCTTAAGATGCCCTATGAGAAGATACATGCCTGTGAGAAAGGATGTGTCTTATTTAGGCTTCAATATGAGGACTTGAACTATTGTCCCATTTGCAATTCTTCCAGGTATGTTGTGGTAGACAACGGTATGGGTGAGAAGACGCAGACCAAAATACCCATTAATGTTCTTCGGTATATGCCAATCGTACCAAGACTTCAACGTCTTTTCATGGTCGAAGAGACGGCCAGATAGATGACATAGCACAAAACAGGCAAAAGAACCAAACTAGATGCAGATAGGAATGTGATGATGGTGCACACATTGGATGGTGAAGCGTGGAAGCGCTTCGATGTATTACATAAGGAAAAAACAACAGATCCAAGGCATCCTCGAGTCGCCGTCAGCACAGATGGGTTCAGTGTGTTTGGTCAGATGGCAGCCCCATACAATTGTTGTCCCGTGTTTGTCATTCCACTCAATCCCCCCCCCGGCAGATTATGCAAAGAAAGAACATTTTCCTGATGCTGATAATTTCAGGGCCCAACTATCCGGGTAGAATATGAATGTGTACATGTAGCCGCTTAAGGACGAATTGCAAGAAACTTGGGATAATGGGTTCAAGACATACGACACCTTTAGCAAACAGAACTTCATAATGCGTGCCTGGTACATGTACTCGACGCATGACTTCCGGTGTATGCACTATTCGTTGGCTAGTGTGTGCATGGAAGGTTCCCGTGCCCCACATGCAAGGGAGATCTTGAGTTTCATTGGCTGACGGCGGGGTGCAAGTATAGTTGCTTCGACTTGCATAGACAGTTTCTAGATCCTCGCCATAAGTTCAGGCAAGACAAGAAGAACTTCATGAAAGGTAGAGTTGTCAAACACTCTGCACCACCTGCGTTGATAGGCCAACAGACCCTAGATCAGATAAACGCTCTCGAGCTAGATCCAGAGCGTCCAGGGTATTTCAAGGGGTATAATAAGGAACACGCACGGACTCACAAGACATGCTTCTAGGATCTGCCTTACTTCAAAGACCTCATTTGTCCACACAACATCGACGTGATGCACAATGAAAAGAATATCGCTGAAGCCATTTTTGGTACATTG